GCTTATAAACCTACTAAAACTGTAGTTTAAAATGAAGTTGATATGACTCCTTTTATTTATTTATTTTCTCCATTTGAAAACATTAGACATTCTACATTTATTTTGCTTATTGTTAATATTAGTGTTACTGCTTATGCTTTAAATAAAATGTTTTTTTTATTGTAATATGAAGATTAAATTTAACATGAAAGACTGGTAATTTTCAACTCTTTTTTTATTTATTTATTTTCTCCATTTGAAAACATTAGACCTTCTACATTTATTTTGCTTATTGTTCATATTAGTGTTACTGCTTATGCTTTAAATAAAATGTTTTTTTTATTGTAATATGAAGATTAAATTTAACATGAAAGACTGGTAATTTTCAACTCTTTTTTTATTTATTTATTTTCTCCATTTGAAAACATTAGACCTTCTACATTTATTTTGCTTATTGTTCATATTAGTGTTACTGCTTATGCTTTAAATAAAATGTTTTTTTTATTGTAATATGAAGATTAAATTTAACATGAAAGACTGGTAATTTTCAACTCTTTTTTTATTTATTTATTTTAAGATGACTGAAAGGAGGAAAAACCAAAGTGAAGTATGGACTTACTTCACTCAGTCATTTATTTACTTTATAACAGTAAATAAATATCGGTTCTGCATATCGGTTATCGGGCACATAAACACGCAAATAATTGGTATCGGGTATCGGTTATAAAATATCAATATCGGTCGATCACTACTAAAATTGTACTTGTAAGGACAAGTATACACAGCATTACTACTATTAGTGCAGCAGGGAGACCGTGCCAAATAGACAACTTCAAGCTGTTGTGGTCGCGCCGCAACAGCGCTTGTGTCCGTTGTAGACATTACCATCCGTCAAGCAGGTAACGTTATTATTGCTAACATAGCGAACTCATCGAAAAATACATTGGCAAATACATTGACATTTTCCAATACATGCATCTGTCTTCTGTCATGTCATCTCAATAAACACCAGTAACCCAGTGCCACTGGAAGCCATGCATGCTCATGTCGTCTCACTGCTCCTCCATGTTTCACAGATGATGTTGTATGCTTTGGATCATGAGCTGTTCCAAGCCTTCTCCATACTTATTCTTCCTGTCATTCTGGTACAGGTTGTTCTTAATTTCAGCTGTCCAAAGAATGCTTTTCCAGAAGTGGTCTGGCTTTTTTTTTTTTTTTTGATGTTTTTGGCAAAGTCTTATCAGGCCTTGTTTGCACCTTGTGGTGAAGCCTCTGTATTTGCTCTGGTGAAGTTTTCTCTTGATTGTAGACTTTGACCGTGACACGCTTACCCCCTGGAGAGTGTTCTTCTCTTGGCTGGATGTTGTGAAGGTTTTTTTTTTTTTTTTTTTTTGGAGAGGATCCTCCGATCATCCACCACTGTTGTCCTCCTTAGACATCCAGGCCTTTTTATGTTGCTGAGCTCACCAGTGCATTCTTTTTTTCTCAGAATGTACCAAACTGTTAATTTGGCCACTCCTAATGTTCCTGCTATCTATCTGATTGATTTGTTTTGTTTTTGAAGCCTAACAGTTGTCTGTTTCACTTGCATGGATAGCTCCTTTGACTGCATGATGTGGGTTCAGAACAACAGCTTCCAAATGCAAACGGCACACTTAGAATCAACTCCAGAACTTTTACCTGCTTAATTGATGTAGAAATAATGAAGGAATAGCCCACAGCTGTCCATGAAACAGCTTTTAAATCAATAGTCCAATTACTCATGGTCCCTTGAAAAAGGGGGCAGGTACATATTAAAAAGCTGTAATTCCTTAAACTTTCCTCCAACTTTGATGAGAATACCCTCAAATTAAAGCTCAGAGTGTGCACTTTAACCCCTTTTATTATGTAACTGTAACTTGAATATGTTTTGGTCAGCAGCTAAAATAATAAAAATTGTTCCTGATTCCAAATATATATAGACCTAACTGTCTGTGTGTGTGTGTGTGTGTGTGTGTGTGTATATGACACACCCTTGAAATGCAAGGTTGAGTGCAGTGCATTGTGGGATACATTACCCCAGCTCTGTGTTCTTTGTCATTGCTCTTTGCCAAGTAGGTATTTAATGCACGCTATGTGCGTTATACATACTTTATATTGTAGAAGTTAACCCTATATAAAGCCTACTGTATCATATTTGATAGGCACATTTCTAAAGCCTCTAAATTATCAAATGATCAATCGATTTAGCTTTGCAAAAAAAAAAAACAGTTGTACACAGTGTACTACATGCCTTCTGTTGTCCGATTGATATGTTTAATTCTAAAAATATCCTCTTCAGGTTGTGGTTTATGTCTTTTTTCTGTGATATCTTTATTAATTTTTATGAAGTAAACATAATAACTTTTTATTGTTAGTTAAATGTCAAGATGAACACTTGAGCACAGATTTTTCTGAAAAGATATGTATGGATAATCATGTTAAAATGTGTCAAATATGATTCATCAGACTTCTGAAGAACTTTTTTTTGTGCTTTTTTGTACGCAATCATCATTGCATTTAAGTAATATGCTGTTCCAAGCATAGCCTGTCATGGCCCTCGGTTTTTAGTATCATGATTCAGAGAAGTTGCTTTATGAAATATTGTATATTCAGCCTCGCTGTCGGTTTGGTTCTTTTCTAGGTCCAATAACACACTGTGCAGTATGGTGTCATTGCGCCCTCTACCTGCAGACTATGAGCCGACTGTGATCATGCTGCCAGGCACCTGCCCAAGCAAAGGTGTGACCACATTATCATATTGATAATTATTTGAAAATCATTTCACTTGAGACTAAGTCCCATTGATTGTGTGCTTGTGAACAGATACAGAAGAGGAGGAAGTTTTAGATGCTGACAGCTCTGAGATGCTTGAGTACATTTCACCAGCACAGCTGGATGAACATCTGGTCACACTCTCTCTGCTTCCTGACTCACGCTGGAAGAACCTGCTGCATCTGGACATCATCAAGGTATGTGCATGTAAAAAGGGGGGAAAAAGTGCTCTGTGCTTAACTATGATGTATTTGAAGGACATTACAAACCCTGTAAAACTGAAAAATCTTCACCTACAGAAAAAGAACAAACCCAAAGAGCCCCCAAAATTACCAAAAGCTGCACCCTTCTTCATTCCCACCATTCCAGGGCTGGTGCCCCAGTTTGCTCTACCCACCACACCCTCAGAGGACCAGGTAAACACCCTTGATAGTGACTCTGTTGTTGGGAATTTATTTGTCAGTTTTAAGATTATTGTATATATTAAATTAAGTATATTTATTAAGTTTGCCTGAAATATTGACTGGAAAATATGAAAACATTTGGTTAATATTTTTACCTAACCCACCATAAAAAAATAAAAATAAATAAATATATTCAGCGAGGACTAATTAAATTAATCAAAATACTTTTTCATTTTTACAAAAATGTTTACATTTAAAATAAACGCTCAGTATTCATAATTATAAGAAATGTTTCTTGAGCCCTAAATCAGGATATTAGAATGATTTCTAAGAGATTGTGTGACACTAAATACTGGAGTAATGGCTGCAGAAATGTCAACTTAGCCATCACAGATATAAATTACATTTTAAAATATATTACAATAGAAAAGTTATTTTAAAATGTAAATATTTTGCTGTTTTTACTTGTTATTGAACATATAAAAATTATGTATGTTTCTATAGTGTATGTATATATATATGAAATTTTAAGTTAGCCTCTTTTTTTTTTTAGTCTAAAGTTGTCAACTTCGGAGTGCTGGTACAGAAGTCTACCTTCTACCTTCAGCTTGAAAACGCCTTAGACAACAGCTCATGTAAGCCCTTTATACTTGATGCTGTACTGTTGAATTTGTAAGAGCTGTGATGTGAATGATCACTGTGTTAATCATCATGACAGATGAGGAGCCAGTGAAGCTGTTGAGAGAGTTGGGCCCCTCTGCCATTGAAATAGAACTTCGGGCCCTGTCACCAGATATGGGCGGAGAGGTCAGAGTTATGCAGAGCTTCCTCAAGATGATCAGCAGCATTCTTCAGTCCAAAAGAGATTTCGACCTGGCTCAAGCCTACCTAGCATTGTTCCTGAAGGTACGCTATGAGCAATCTGCTGATGTTTATTTATTTACATTTCCATGCAATTGCACTTACCATTTTTATATCAACTTAACACAATAGCTTTGACTTTTAGTTCCATTACAAAGCTGTAAGACTTTTTTTATCGGAGCTGCTAGTTTCTGGCCTAACCAGCCATGACAAAACTGTCGGTTGCTTGGTTTCTGTTTCTTTCTAATCGTGCTGGAAAGCCCCTGTTCACCGTTAAACATCGTTGGTCTAAAAATCCTGTTTCGCATTAATCATGTATCCACATTCCAAATAAAGACTCTGAAATGCAGCTTTTTTTTTAAATTGGACCTTGAAAATATTTAGTAAATATTTTTATAAAATTATAATATTAATGTAATATTTATGATAAACATTTTGACATATTTGATAATTAAGTTCTACAAAAAATGAAAATGTACAATAAACAATGAAGGGCTTAAATTGTGAAAATTGTTGAAAGCAAGGCTGCATTTATTTAATCAGAAACACAGTAAATAGAAATAACACTAAAACAACTACTTCTATTTTAATATATTTAAAAATGTCACATGATCCTTCAGAAATCATTGTAATATATGCTGATTTTGTGCTCAAGAAGATTTTTTCTTCTAGTCCATTAATTAACGTCTTGTGAAGTGAAAAGCTGCATGTTTGTAAGAATCAAATCTATCATGAAAACATTTTAACCTAAAACCATCACTTCTGGCCATAATAGTGCTTCTTCAGTGCAAGTTTTCATCCTCTGTTGTCCTCTCACATCAAAATCCACCGACATTTTATAGAATGGTTTTGGACTTTTCACTTGTAAATGGTGCTTGCACAATTCTCCAAATCTGCTCCGAAGAAGAAACAATCTCAGTCACTTTATTTTAAGGTTCAATTCTTGCTATTAACAAACCATTACCTACGACTTTTGCCTCAAACTCCTAATTTGCTGCCTATTAATGGTTAGTAAGGTAGTTAAATTTAGGTATTGGGTTGGATTAGGGAGGTAGAATATGGTCATGCAGAATATGTGCTTTATAAGTACTAATAAAATACAAAATAAATGCATGCTAATAAGCAACTAATTAATAGTGAGAATTGGTCCCTATACTAAAGTGCCACTACAAACTCATCTACATCTTGTATGGCCTGAATAAGTTTTCAGTACATTTTCAGTTTTGGGTTGAACTGTTCCTATTAAGTAAATGCTGTTTGATTTGCTATTTTGTCTTTTAAAGTTGATATTAATACATGTTTGAGTGTCTAAATACTTGGAACCACTGTGCATAATATATAGTATGTTATATATATATATACACTGTTCCAAATTATTATGCAAGTGACATATCAATAGGATTTCGGTACAATAAAGAGTCAGATTTGTGTTTGTGTTTCACATCTTTTTAGATAACTGGTGTCAATCTCAGACAGGTTTGTTCAATAGTTTGCCAGGTCTTCTTAGGTAAATGGAAACCCTACTTAAAGAGGTTGTTCCACATTATTAAGCAAGTCACAGTTCCCTTTAATGGGAACTTCGAACTGCGTCCTCTAGGGGTCGCTATGGGGAACGCCTCATCGTGACCCCTGTCTGAAGCATACATTGAAAAAACACCAACTCGTTGGCCGGCGACAGCCTTGACGTCACTACTGGTTCGACTATAGTATAAATAGGCGCTGGGAGCTACAAATCATTCTCTTCTTCGTCTTCATTGACTGTTCTGTTTGAAGCGTGCATTTCCAAGGAAAAAGTAAGAGCTATCTCTATTTATTATGGCGAGCACTAGCAGAGCATTTAGAAGGTGTGTGCATCCGTGTCATCGCTATTTGACACCAGATGACACGTTGACTTGCCGTGGAAGCGGACTAAGGAAGTAGCGTCACGAGGTCGTCTCGAGGAACGTTATCTTTCTGGCCATAACCCTCCAGCTCAGGTGAACCTTCCTTTCTTCCTGTTTTTCCATATAAAGATTGAGAAGGAATGGTAGAGGCCGTTTTTTTCCCCTCACGAATCCATTGATCCCAGTGTAATGAATTTTTCTCCTTCATTTGTAATTGTAAGTTTCTTTGCAGTGTTTCCCGGGACCTGTGTGTTTCTGTCCCTTTTTCTAGGTAAAATCTTTCCTCAATTAAAAAAAGGGGCACCCCCGCTGCTGGGTTCAGAAACCGGGTGCTTGACTTGCAGTGTTTATTACACTCGTCGAGATATGTCCAGAAAGTAAGTAAAGCCGGGTTTCGGCTTCATACTTCCTGGATCATGGGGACATAACACAGGCTTATGCGAGAGCCTTCGTGTTCATCAGGCCCCCGGCACATCACTGCAAAAATTTCCTGGACGTCCGGGCTGGGGTTACGCTTTCATGCTACCCTGACTGGTCTACCGTATCTGGGT